AAATTAACAAAGAGTCTTGACCATGAGTGAACTTCAGGATTGTCCCTCTGGAATGCCTGATTTCGTGCCTGAGAATTCTGTTATATGTAAAGGTTTATGATTCTCACTTACACCTTGACATACTCAAAAGAATTGTTCGGATGTGACACTAAATTTTGGATAAGCAAGGAGGTTCTCTCGCTTGGAATGCCATGGGTATTCTGATACTACTCGGGACTGGAAGTACTCCTGGAACCTTACTGTGCGATCTATGAAGAAGAATCAGAATCGGGTCGTTCGAGCTACACATTTTTTTTATGGTTCTCGTTTCCACCGTCTGCCTCTCGCCATGATACTCCCACCATACCGTGACAGTTCTTTACGCTCCCATCTCTGTTTGAAGTCATCACATCCCTCCCCGCACTGACTATAGGCAATCGCTTTCTCTCCAGTTACCAGCTTTCTGAGTTGGGTAGCGGAACGTCGGAAACGTAGCATCACTCGGAAAGAAAGAGGGTTCTCTGGTAAATCAATCGGCGACGTGGGACGACAACTACTGAACCATCTTTTCTGAGTACTGGTTCGGGCAAGTGGCGGAAAAGACAAGCCAGCCCGCAATTGGTCTCAAGCTGATGACGGTCATCTCCGGAAAGTTCGGCATGGTTCCGAGGCCCGCTGGTTCTAGTTATCCAAGCCGTTCAGTTCGGAATCCGGAATCAAGGTTACCCGCTCAAAAGTATCAAAGTCGCAAGTTCCCGCTCTACCCGATGTTGTCGGCGCTGAGAATGATGCAAGTTGAGTGATCCCTGTTTAATTGAACAGGATTGAGCACCTCAAGGATCAGCTTTAGGTCATCTTTTAATGCCCTATGTATTATCGGGTTCTTTTTCAGTGCTCGGAAATGATATCACAATGATGAGAACCGTTATTTGGTCGCTGTTAATCTAACCGTTTTGCTTGCCCGGCAGATGACAGCAGAAACAGTCGACTGTCAAGATTCAAGAATCGAGAGGACGATGTCACGATTGAACTATAACCGAATGGATACTTATCCAGCTATTTTTCACTTGGTCAACGCGAGCGACTCGCAACGTAAAAAAGCAAAATAGTGAGCTCAAGAATTGTCGAGACTCCGTTCAAGGACTAATTCTTGCACCCATTAGATGTCATTATCCTCCAGCGGCAGGTCCCTTTTCAAGAGCACGACTCACGAGCTCCTCGTGAACTGCGACATTCCATTCGACAAGAACCTTCCGGTCGACCAGGCCATGTATAACCAATGCAAGGAGCTGCTGGAGTCCAAATTTAATTATCCGCTGTCTCTTTATCCCTGGTTCGAGAAATGCCTCCACCTCGGGGTCGACCTGGCCGGCAGTGCCTTTTCTCATCTTCCAAAATGCAACCAAATCCAAATCGCCTTCTTCACAACGACTGTCATGGCGTTGGACGATCATTTCCGACAAATTCAGGAACAGATGGAAGGTTTCAGCGACCGGTTAGTGAAGGGACTCCCGCAGAATAATCCCATCCTTGCTACTGGGGCACAGGTTCTTTCCGACATGCCTCATTATTATGGCCGACTACAGTCCAATTTGATTGTAACGTCGATGCTGGATTTTGTGTCTTCTTTGATGATAGACACGGAAATTCAGAAGATGACGGTGAGTGGTGCAGAATAAGAAAACCTACCTTGTCATCCGGCGTTTGCTTTTCTCCTAGAACTTGGGTTCACCCGATTTTACGTCTTACTGTCGGGACGTTGTCCGGGATTTCTGTGGCCTTTGCGATGTTTGTATTCCCAAAGGATCTCGAAGTGGTGGGATATATCCAATGTTTGCCTCACTTCAACACTTACATCAATGGCCTGAAGTACGATCTTCAATCGACCTTTCTTCCTTCATTCTCTGATAGTGTCTTTTCTGCAGCGATGTGCTTTCGCTTTACAAAGAGGAGCTCGAACAGGATGAGGAGAACTATGTGCCTATGCTCGCAAAAGAGGCTGGGATCACGAAGTACGAGGCACTCAAACGTCGAGCTGACGAAGTCGTCGAAGCCAACAAGAATATCTTGAAAGGGTTAGCCGGTAATCAACCCGCTTTGGACTGTTGGCTTAACTTCAAGAATAAGTTTGCCCACTTTCATATTTCATCGTCCCGCTATAAGCTGAATGAGCTCTTTGACTTCACGGAGATGCGGAAGAGTCGCTGATGATCTGCTTATTTGGACGGAGATACCCAGTCCCATTATTGTAATTAACTGTTTAATGTCCGGGGTGCACAGGTAGCAGTGGGCCGAAAAGATGAATCAGGATATCCAAGATCTCTCATTGTGACTTTCAAAGGGGAAAAACTCACCGAAGGCTTTTTGACAGTGCCCAAAAGCCCCACGTAAGATCCCGTAAATAAACTCGACCGGTTCATATCACCATCGATCAATCAGCGAAAACCACCTCTTCGCAACTTCTACATGTTGTTGCCATCCAGAACGATGGATTTTCTGAAAGTTCGACGTCGCAAAAGCAAGCCGTCAATTGTCATAGTCTTTGAACCCGTTATAGACGACAATCCAGCGAGCACGATCATTGGCGGGGATAGTACGGATACGACGAAACCGAGATTGTCGTTCTGGTTATTTATGCTAGCCGTCGAAATTCGGAGATAAATCAGTTTCCTGAAAAAACAAGATGTGTAGGGAAAGAAGACAATACAGCACGATGGTTAATTGGATGCGAACTGTGAAGAACGCACCATGCAGTGATATACTGCCTTTACCCAACTGCATCATCCCTCCCATCGCACTTCTTAACTTCACGACTTCACGCTCCTTTTCGTCCCCCACCCAGAGTCCTTGATAATCCTACCCCGCTGAGGCGACATACAGCCCACCAGTTGTAAAGGGAACGCAGTTGTGGGACCCCATACGATGAGCTCTGCCTCCGTCAGGGCTAAATTAACAGATACCGGACTCCTCGCCCATCCGGAGCCCGGAGCTCAAACCAAGACAATTCCCAATAAAGCTGGTGGGACTTGGAGATGATCCATGATAGACAGAGGAGGACAAATGACGAACGGACCACGAAGCTGGAGTACGTGCCGAAGCGAGATTTTGCATATCGTCAAAGAGTGTAAAAAAGGCCTTCCAGAACCTGTCGAATAGGAAGTGGTGGAGGGTGCGCCCACAGGTTGTTTTTTTAGAGGAAGGAAGAAAAAAAGACCGTGGGGATAACGGATCCCTGGGTAGCTCTAATCAACCGACTAATCACCGAAAACATCGCAAACGCCTTTTACATAACCACAATCCGCTGCCACAGCTGTAACTGCTTACAAAGACCACAACTCGTCAGGACGACCATGCACTATCACGAGTTCAGATGGAATTAACCGTTCTGAATCGGAGCATGTTTATATACTGAAAGAATCAGAAACATGGCAGCATTTCCAGAACGTAATATATTGCAGACTTGGATGACGCCGAGGTCTATATAAGAGGTGGATGCAAACAGTTTCATTCCTCCCTTCCTCAGCTAAACATGATTACAGTCTACGATTTAGGACCATCCAACTTTCCTGAACATCTTGGATGTTCTCCTCATACACGAAGGGTCATGTAAGTATTTTAGCTTCCCGGTCTCTTTTCAACATCGTATTTCAGTTCTAACATCAATATCTAGTTTCGCACTAAACTATAAGAAACTTCCTTACAAATACTCCGTCGTCAGATTCGAAGACGTCGAACCGACCGCTAAATCCGTCAACGCACCTCCAACGACCGCCAAACCCGACGGTTCACCCAAGTATACAGTTCCATTCATTCACGATTCTTCCACAGGTCAATCCGTCTCGGATTCTCTGGCAATCGTGGAATACCTAGATCAAACCTACCCAGCGACCCCAAGGCTCGTTCCTGAAGGAACTCGGGTTTTACAAGTCGTCTTTACCGACTCGGTGTCAGCGAAATTCTACGTGTTATCGGGGGTGCTCACTCCAAAGTACCAACAATGCTTTTCAGCCGAATTTTTGGCTGCAGTGGAGAAGCAATTTGGCCCGCCACGTAAACCTCCCTCTGAAGAGGAAGTGAAGGAGTTGTGGGCGAAGGGAAGGAAGAGTTTCGACGAGTTGACTGCAGCGTATGATGGCACGACGGCTGGGTCTGAAGTGTTTGTGATGGGTGAGAAACCTGTGTTTGCAGATTTAGCGTTGGCAGCGGCGGCTGCGCATGTGAAGTTTTTGTTTGGAGATGACAGTGAGGAGTGGAAGGATGTCAGTTCGTGGATTGGTGGTAGGGTGGGGAGAATGGTAGAGGCAATATTGAAGTATGAGAGGATGTAGCAGGACCCCGGATAATAGGTAAAAATGCCGTCCTGAAGATTTTCTGGACGGGGAGATTTTTTGTGAACTTCTGGACCGCAATTTTCCAAATAGCTTCGCTGACAGGTTCAACATTCAAATTTTGTCAAAACCGGCGAAAATGACAATCAAGTAATATGATTATTGGCTACCGGTTTTGTTACGGTTTTGTTAATCCGAGTATTTACAAGGAGTTATCGTGTCACCTGTAGCTAGGCTCGACTAGAGCCGGTGGGGAAGTTAGAAAAACACCTCAGAGGAGGCGTTTTTTTTAGAAAAAGGATGGAATTTCTCTTCATGGTAGACTGATCATGTCGCATGTGAAGGAAGGAAACGATACCTTCATTTACAGTCTGGTACGTCTTTTTCCGAGGCTTTGTAATATAATGGCTTACTGTCACTAGTTTTCGTGCTACGTGAACCTCAGACTACTACGCTACCCCTTGAACCTTCACCAACGGCCGAGGTTATTATTCGGAACTACGGTACCGTAGGTACGGTGTTCCGTGCCAATTTCACAATGTGTTGCGTTTTTGTTTCAGCGGTTCTGAAGCTTTCAGTCACATAATGAACTCGAGCGAGGTCTGATCGAGATCACTCTCGACTCCAAGTCCAGTCTAACGAAGTCTACATAGGTTACTGTTTTGGTGTACACATGTGGCCGACTCTCCTAACGGCCGCCTGGCGAAATGGCATCGCGTCTGACTACGATTCTCCTTCCATGTGTTAAAAGTAATCAGGAGATTGCAGGTTCGACCCCTGCGGTGGTCAGTCAATCATTCATCAGGTTATCTGTATTGAATTTTTGTTTCACCTTGCTTCCAAGTATGTACCTACTTGCCAGCTTACCCCACACTTACCTCCACAATTATAAACTTTGCGGCTTCTTGTTGAAGTTGGAATAAGGTGACCGTCACCAGCCTCCCAAATATCTCAGGCAAGCTGCCCCAGAGCATGAGAATGTCTGTAGATGTTTTCATGTTTCTGCCACCACAAAATACATGCAGCGCATATTTGTTTGCACATTTCTTATTTCCCTTCACTGATTCAACCCTATGCAGCACACTACTTACAGCTCGCGACATCAAAAGTCACCAGGAACCCCCTAACTTTATATATTCGTTGAACTTTGCCATCCATAAAGAGATATCATAGAATATTGCTATGAAGCTAAGTACAACAGGCATGATTTGTGCCCTGGCATGCACTTAGAGTTCTTTTCAGGGTGAGAAGTAAGTGCAAAAACAAAGCAATGTACTTGAACTGGGAAGGGTCGACTCTCACCCTTACAGGGACATGAAAATTTAAACTCTGAGTTTCTCACAGTCTGACCTTCATAGGGATGTCTCCACAATGAGATGCTTACAGTACCATTGCAAGAACAAAGAGTGAATCTTGTCCATAGATAGCAACATGTCTATAAGTATACAACTTGAAAACCTACCCAACATTCTCACTATTGTACCTTCAAGACATTAGCTCTTGAACACCCCTTCAATTTCAGAGATAGTTGCTGCCCCAAGCTCTTGTAGCTTCTTTGAGAACATCCTCCTAGTGATCTCTACTGCCTGTGATCCCACATCCATGTCAGCTTTGTCTTGCTCAAATGGATTGAAGCAAAATCTCTATGAGATGACTTTTGGATTGATGATTATTTTTGATAATTTGGCAGATTATTTGGGCTTGATTCTTCATCCCTTTCTCCCTGGTCAGTCTCAGCTGACAGAATGATAGATACTGAAATGCTCTACCCTTTATACCAATAATGCCTGTACCAAAAAGGTTTCAAATGCAGCTCCTACCTTGGTCTGCTTTGACACAGTCAGGCATTGAGATATGGTGTGCAGAAGATAAGAGTCTATTACTCAAATCCTCTTCCATATGTTGCTATAGAAACTCATACTTCCAAGAACCAGCTTTGAAACCCAATCAATCGAAAACACCAACAGCTTCTTTTATAGAAAGTGCTCAAACAAACACTATAGACTGGATATGTTTACTGTAGGCTATTAGTCTCCTGTGCTCCAAGAATGTGAAAAGCTGCCCAATTATTTCTTATCATTGCAAATATGGGGATTTTGGCTAAAGTATTGTTCTCAAGAAGAGCTGAAATTCTTAATGCCAGTTGGCTACCTTTAACTGCTAGAGAGCTGGTACAGGATCATATCATGTCACCATAGAAGAGCTAGTCTCACAGAGAAATCAAATGACAGAGGGATCAAACTGAATTTAGGAAACAAAACATACCAGATGCTGTTGGATGAAAAACAGTACGGGAGCCAAGGACATGGAAGGTGAATACATCTCCAAAGAGGTGTGACCACTTGAGATATGCAACTCAGGGCTTTTCATTGGATTCTAGGAGCCTTTACAAGTCAAGGATGTTCCCGACAGTCGGCAAACCCTTGGCCGGGAGGTAATCTTGAAGCGCGGTGGTGCTTGACGAAGGAAAAAAGAGTTAAGATAGATAGTGCCAACAGAGGTTTGATCTGGCCCATTCTCTGTTGCACAGGAGGGAAAAATCCCGCATACAGGTCCTTTAAGTAGGACATACATACCCCGCGCTACACACCTGCAAGTGACATTCAGATGAACGGGATTGGGAGACTTTAGTCCTTTACAGTTCTTGCACAAATAGACTTGAGTATAGACTTGACAACACAACCTCCCAACATGCTTCCGCATGAACTCGCCTTCGATAACTAGTTGAAACGGGTCATGCGGAAGTCAAAACGCCTTCCCTTGTCCATCCTGTTTAATGACTTGGATGTCAGCGAATTGGATAATTTGGCTCGCATAACAATACCACAAGACTACCTATATATATATTGAAGACTAATGACTGATTCACAGAGTTAGGGCTCGGAAACTATATCATTCTACAGCCCACACAGCCTTCCTCAATCATGGACACTGTCACCCGTCAAATGAACGCTGGTGCGGATGGCCGTGGAACGAAGCGACAATTAAAAGGACGAGGATGACTGTAGAACTGGGTTTTAGCAAAACACAACAGTAATTCCTTCATCTTAATCACACACCTGGTTACCCCCGCTAAATAATCAACCACTGGATCAATTTCATTTCCATCATCATCGACTTCCTTAAACATTGTAAAGTTTGCGAGGAGATAGGTCATTGCGAGCCAGAGTGAGTTGATAGCTAAATGCTGTCCCGGACATAGTCGTCTGCCGAATCCAAATGCGAGAGTTTGGGGATTGGGTGGGAGGTTTTTTCCATCTTGCTTCATGAACCGTTCCGGGTTGAACTTTGTTATTTCAGGTCCATAGAGAGATTCATCTTGGAAAACAGCCCTGCAGAAGAGGGGATATGGGTTAGGGGACAGGAAAGATCAATACCATGTCACCACACATAACAGCAGCAGACTGGTTTACCAAACATTAGCAACAATAGTTGAACCTGTGAGGCTTGTTAGATAGAATGACAACAAACACAAAGTAGACACATT